GTGTTTTATATTACAAAACTTTGTGACTTGATTATGATATTTGTGATTTCTAAAATTTTAAATATTTTTATTACGCTAATTAATGGTGTGATTATACATTTTGTAGTTGATGAGTAAAATAGTCTTTTTTTATTAATTTTACTTAATAAAAATAGATGAAGGATTTATATTTTTTTTAAAAAAAAAATTAAGTATAAATTGACAAAATTGTTAAGTAATAATTTATTTTATTATAAGACTCTATTCATAAATATTTTAATTTTGTTTTTTTATAATGATTATTACATAATTTCGGCCCCATTTTCTCCAAAAATTTGGAACAAACATCCAAATTTTGTCAAAATTAAAATTCCCTCATTAATTGTTTTTTGACAAATCCCTAAACCCTTTCTTTAGCCCAAACGAGAGAGAGAGAGAGAGAGAGAGTAATTTCTAGACTAGGGATGTGCCGCGAGCTCATGGGCCAAATTTGCACCCCCATATGTGAGTAAGGTTATGAAATATGTGATTAGTAGTTATGATATATGTGATGTTGGTTATGAAACAGCTGGTGTTGGTTATGAGATGTGGTTATGACATAAGTAAGTAAAGGTTATGAGATATATTATTAGTGATTATTAGATATGTGATTTTGGTTATAAGCAGAGTGATGTGATTATAAGTCAAAGGGTGTTTGGTTATGAGATATGTGATTGGTGGTTATGAGATATGTAATATTGGTTATGATTAAAATGGTATGATTATGAGATATGTGATTAGTAGTTATGATATATGTGATGTTGGTTATGAGATATTGGATTAGTAATTATAATATATGCTATTTTGGTTATGAGCAAAGTGGTGTCAAAGAGTGTTTGGTTGTGCTATATGTGTTAGTGTTATGAGATATGAAATATTGGTTATGATCAAAGTAGTGTAGTTATGAGCAAAAAGGTTGTTAGTTATGAGATATATGACTAGTAGTTATGAGATATGTAATGTTAGTTATGACTCAAAGGGGTTGGTTATGAGATGTGGTTATAATTCATGTGGGTAATAGTTATGAGATATGTGGTCAATGGTTATGAGATATATGATATTGGTTATGAACAAAGTGGTGTGGTAATGAGCAAAATGGTGTTAGTTATGAAATATGTAATTGATGGTTATGAGATATGTGATGTTGGCTATAAAAAAAAAGGTGTTAGTTATGAGATATGTGACTAGTGGTTATGAAATATGTGATATTGGTTATGAGATATGTGACTAGTGGTTATGAGATATGTGATATTGGAACCCCTTGACTCTTCTAATTTCCTTTACCCTCTTTTTGGTAACCGGTTACATCGGTTGCCAATTCAAAATTAAATTATTAAAATAATTTAGTTATGTGATAGTTATAAGATAATGTGGTATGTATGAGTAATTAAATATAATTAAGTTATGAGTTAATATGATAATAATTATGATCGATATGATATTAGTTATAATATAAAATCACATACCCTCATAACTAATGTATGATACATTCAAATGTACCATAGCATCACCTCGGACGCTCGAGCTTGGCTGCGGTTTGGCAAGAGGGTTGGATTTGAATTGAGACTAAAATCTCCTTTGGGAACAAGTTTTTTTAAATTAAATTATATTTGGTTTTGACTTTTTGGTTAAAAAAACACAAACGACAAAATTGATTACATAAATCAATAAGATAAAATGTCAAATTTAAACCATAATTATTATATTTTTTTTTCACAAAAGTCAATAAATTAAAAACAAAAACCAAATGAGGCTAAAACAGTCAAGTTAAAATAGCCAAAAAATCAGGCTATTTTAGCTCTTTCCATATGAAGACTTTAGACTAAATAAATTAATAAAACAAAATGTAACATCTAAACTATAATTATTTTTTTTTCTCTTACAAAAAAATCAAAAAAATTTAAAAAATTCTTTTTAAACGGAACTAATTTTACCAAGTTAAATTAATCAAAAATTTAAAAAGTCAAGTTAAAAAGAGTTCTTTCTACACGAATCCTAAAAAAATGCATGTGATGCACGCACTGTTACATATAGATTTTAACTTTTACATGTGTTTTTGAAAACTACAAAGGAGGATAATGTGTTTTTGAATTAAATTATATGGGGATAAAGTGTAATTAGCCCTCTATTTGTTTAGGCGGTGATTCGACAACGAATTTGACTAAATAATTTTTTTTTAAATAAAGAAACAATTTAAAATATATTTTATTTTTATTTTTATTTTAAAAAAAGTATCTAAATTTATGATCTAAATAAATAATAATAATATTTTAATCAAAAAAATAATCAAAAATTTAGCATAATAGAATTGATATTTTTTAATAAAATTAAAGTAAAATTAATACAAATGGTGCATAAATATATATGAATAAATAGAAGTAATTTTTGTATAAGAAATAAACTATATTCACTCCGCTTGGTTTTGGTTTTGGACTTCATAATTCACTTTTCAGAGAATTTTATTTTTTTATTTTTCATATTTTTTATTTTTACTGAATTTTTTTAACTTTTATACACACCTAACATAAATATACTTAAAAAGTATAATTTTTGTGAAGAAAAATCTTTAAAAAATTCACTAAATATCAAAAATACAAAAAAAAATGAAAATTTAAAAATATTCACTAAAAATAAAAAAAAAATCAATTTTTAAATAATTAAATTCAAAAAATTGAAACCAAATACACTGATTATTGTTCTATTCATATGATTAATAAATTGTTAAAATTATTTTTTGCCTTTAATCAAAATTTTATTCAACTTTGAATAAAAAAATTTATTTAATTTGAACCAATAAAATGGATAAACTAGGATTAAAGTATAAATTTGAGTAAAACTTAATAAGTGATAGAATAATAAATTTAACCGTTTTGAGTAAACATTTGAGTCTTGGGTAAAAATTCGGGTAAAATTCATTTGACATTAGTTTGGATGAAGATGTGAAAGTTGTTTTACTTTATAGTTTTTAAGAATAATAAATCTGCTAACTCAGATTTATCTATACAAATTATTTTTATGAGTAATTATATGCTAGAGATTAAATTTGTGTAGTGTGAAATCTATATGTAAAATTAATTTGAATTACAATAATATAATTCTTGATAATTTCTAATATTACTGTTTTAAGAATGTTTTTTTACTTTTTCATTTTTTGAAAATTAATAATTATAAATATTTTTCTCTCAATTTCTCAATAATTAATTTCTTTCATCTTAGGTAAATTAGTAATTGGGCGAAAATGGTCCCTATATGTTAGGACTTGTGTTGGTTTTATTCTTGACTTTTTAATTGTGATATATTTGATCTTAAATTTTAAATCCTGTTTCAAATACGGATAATTGAAGACATTGTTACTCTATTTTAAAGGTAAAGTCGTCAATTTGATAAAATATAAATTAATTTGACAAAAATAAAAGTTAAAAAATTATTTTAAAATTTTTAAAAATTATTTTTATAGACTTATTTATAAGTTATTTTTCAGACACTTATGGTAGGCTAAGTCCTGTGTAATTTCTTTTAGAGTCTCAAGTCCTATTTAGATAGGAATGTATTCCACAAGATCCTACATAAACATAACGTGACGTGACACTTACATAAACGTAACGTAACGTAACATGACACCTATATAAACGTAACGTAACGTGTCACGTTACGTTTCGCAAACTTAATGAGTTTTTATTTTTTTAAATTGAATGTGAAAATGTTACTAGTTTATGTTGGTGTCACTTTACGTTTCATATAAATAAAATCTATGATAACATTCAATTTCCTATATAGGAAATTGAATGTTGCCATATATTATAGGTGTCACGTTACGTTTATATAGGTGTCACATTACGTTACGTTTATGTAGATATGATCTATGGTATATAGGAAATTACATGTTATCATAGATCATAGGTGTCACGTTACGTTTATGTAGGTGTCACGTTACGTTACGTTTATATAAATATGATTTATGATAGCATTCAATTTCCTATATATGGTTTTACTATTGTTTATGATATTAACAACTAATATTAATAGTAAATGTGTCAACAAACTTCCCACAGGACTTATGGGAACATAAGTTTTTTAGTATGACTATATGTAGCATGAGTCTCCCTAATAGGATTTATAAATAATTTTCCCATAAAATTATATAAAAATGATACATCTTTTACATTTTTATTTTTTTAATTTTTTATCAAATAAATTTTTAGTACTCTGTGTGTTTGGATTATGATCATGTAATAGGTAGTTATTTTTATTGATATTTTTAGATGGTTATCTTATAATAAATGGTTATATTTGTTATTAACAGATATTTTTTTATGATTTTTATTTAATAGATAGTTATTAGGTTTTTAATGTATAATCAATATGTTTAATATATTAAATGTTTTTAGTTTTGAATTTTTAGTCCTCGTTTAATGGGTTGATTCAATAATGCAATCAAAATTATTGTCATATTTGACTTTTGAAAAAATAAAACTAATTTGACGAAAATAAATATAATTTTTTTATTCATATCCTGTCAAAAGATAAAATTATATAAAAATGATATGTTTTAATTTTTTTACCAATTTAATTTTTAGTTTTTAAAAAAAAAGATTCTTAAATAAATTTGAAAACCAAATCAAACAAAACTTTATAACTAAAAAAAATCAACATTATTTATTAAAAAAAGAATCATTATATTTTAACTAATACAAAATAAATTATGTAACGACTTTACCCTTCAAATAAAATAACAATATTTTTAATTATTTTTATTTAAAACGAGATTCAATACAAAATAAATTATGTAACGACTTTACCCTTCAAATAAAATAACAATATTTTTAATTATTTTTATTTAAAACGAGATTCAAAATTTATGATCAAATATATTATAATTAAAATATTAAAAATTAAAGTAATAGAAGTCTCAAACTATATCCTGGGATTCCTTGAAACGGCGTCACTTTGTTAGCTATTTGTCTCCTCCAATGGCTAACCATCATCAGAAAATGTCAAACTACTAGTGTGCTTACTGGAAAACTGGTAGTTGTATCCGTTCTAGTCTCTATCTTCTACCCCTTTTCCTCAATTACAGTTAGGGTTTTACATTCATCTCTCTCAACTCTTTTCCATATATTTTCCTCTTCAACTTTCTCATCTCTTCTCTGTTTTCCAAATCTCTGTATCAACATCATCTATGCAGCTCTAGATCCAGATTCATCATCAATGTCATCTCCGCCCAATCACACCTCCGGTGCCGGAATCTTCCCAAGAGTCAGAGCCAACGCGCAACCGTTCTTCGCCACGCGCCGCCCATGGCGCGAGCTCCTCGGCGGCGCTCCGTCGTCGCGGTGGTCCTCCTTTGCTCGTCCCTACACTCTCGGCGAAGCCACGTTTCGCCTGAAGCGAAACCTCAACTACTTCCGAGTTAACTACGCCATGTTCATGTTGCTAATACTCTTCCTCGGCCTCCTCTGGCACCCAATCTCCATGATCGTCTTCCTCCTCGTCTTCGCAGCCTGGCTCTTCCTCTACTTCTGTCGCGACGAGCCTCTTATGGTTTTCAATCGCATCGTCGACGATCGCGCGGTGTTAATTGTTCTCAGTTTGATCACGATCGTCGCTCTGGTCTTGAGTCGTGTGTGGTTGAATGTGTTGGTTTCGGTTTTGATTGGAATGTTGGTGGTTGGTTTGCACGCGGTATTTAGGGTTCCGGATGATCTGTTTCTTGATGAGGAAGAAGCGGCCAACGGTGGCTTGCTTTCAGTCGTTCGATGATTCTTCTACTGATGATATGGTTGTGGGTATATATGTTAGACTACCAATTCCGCAATGCCATTGAAGCTTTCAGGCAATCAGGTTTGTTTACAGATTAGTATTTTTATTAGAATTAGATGATGATGATGTTGGAGTTCTCTGTCTTTGTCAATGAGTCGATTCAAGCTCAGCTTCTCATCAATTCAATTGTTCGTGCAATTTAGCTCAGGTTGCAGTTAAAACACTTGTGATTCTGTATTTGTCAATGGAAATCTTTGGCAGTTTTTGCAAAATCAATGATTTCTTCTATCACATACACATTGCCTCTTTAATTGACTTCTGGAACCCATATTGGGCGTCTTGGTTCTAACTTTCTTCTTCTTTAGGTTCTCATTTTCATGTTAGATCACCATTAGAGAGTATATAAAAGCAGAGACTGGCAGAGATGCTTGGTATTCAACAGGAGAAAGAAAACATGATGCTTGAGGGGTTTGGGATGGGTGCGGATCGAACTCACTTGTGGGCCCTTTGCAACTGGAAATGCGACACACCAATTAACCCTTATAAAAGGAGCAGAGATAGTCCTTTCCCAGAGAAATAATGTACATATAAATGGTTGTAGTCGTCATCACTGTTTCTGTTCGGTTTAGGGCTTCTTAGAAGATGAATCTTTTTATCTTTGGAATTAAGGAAAAAGATATTTGTTGCCTCATAAATATGATAGGTTTTTTTTTCCACTTCTAATGTGAATTCTTACAGTATGTAAATGTCGAACCAACGATATCCATCATATTTCTCATTATTTTATTTTATTTTTATATATGACGCGTCCTATATGTACTGTGTTTGCTGTATAAATTCATTACCTCGGATTGAGAATTTGTTCATGTAGGAATGGACGTACTGATTCACAGATTTAAGAGGTTATGTGATTTCTTAGTCCTTCATTGATACTTGTAGATTCAAGGTTTGAAGGAGAGGTATACCTTTTGCTGCTGGAACAACATCAGAAAAATGCTATTCATAGTAGCAGATCAAGGCAAAAGCTGAAAAAATCAGCGGGGGTATTCATTGGGTCATAATCATCTATGTATAATGTATATTGAACGAAGTGTTGGATTGGATGAAAGGAAATCTCTCTTTCCTGTAAGAACAGTCCTATGAGTTTTGAAAGGTTCGCCCTTATGGTTTCTCAACAGTAATTTTCTTTGTATTGTCACCCACAAAAATGTCAAACGTTTACTTGTGTCTGAAAGTGTGTTTGTACCTTGTACACATAACACACAGTTTCATTTTTTTTTATTCCATGTGAATAACCCATCATTTGTGCGTTAATCAATGTAACGTCTGTTTGCATATGTTTTTAGTCAAGCACATTGTGGTGGACAGGTAGTGGTTTGTTTGCATATGGTTTTGGTCAAGCACAATGTGTTCGTGGCTTGTTTCCAGCTGTAAGCAAATTGTGGAGAGAGAGAGAGTTCGGGGGGGAGGCGCTCTCGAGCTCAGCTTAACTGAGAGAATCAAGCCAATTCCTTCTTATTTTAAGATTTAAAAATTCTGATAATAAACAATCGAGGAAAGCAGACTAACCACAATTGTACCGACGAATTTAGATGGGTACGGGGAAACCAAGGACAAAAGGACATAAACAAGGACATAAACAACAAAACAATAAACTTCCCTCAGTTGAGTATGATTAAGATCAGGATTTTAGAAGTAAATTCCTAAAATACATAGTTAATTACAAACAAGTTGAAGAAGGTGACAGATAAAAAGTGACCATTGTCAAAATTCACAAACATTGAACAATGAAAGATACCAATGGATAGCAAAGCTAGACGTCTCAACAAAGATTGAGATAACCAATCAGTTGCCAACTCGGTCCACCGCAATAAGAAGTATGGACACCACAGCATCCTATAACTCGCAACACTGATTGTACCAGTTGTAAGAAAGCTGCATAATGGAAATGCATGCTCACGAGGTACGTGCTTGGAATCCGAAGGATATAGGTGGTTGAGGAATCCAGAGGTTAAAACAACAGAGGAAATATGTTCTAGGAAGGTGGAACTTTGCGAGCATAAGCCAACACCATCACAAAATCTTTTGCCGAGGAACCAATTGATGCTGGAATCCTTTGCGATGTTGAATCAATTTGTAGCCACAAATCAACCAAATTATTCAGTTCCAATGTGGGGAGCACTGATTGACCCATACATTTGATCTCAACCTGCATGAAAATGAAATGAACAATCAGCTAAATGTGGAAACACAATCACTAAATTTACAGTGGAAATGATGGTATGGCTGTTCTACAGAATATTAAACTGATAAATAATAAGCATCGCTTCATATTTCAAATTTTAAAAACACCAGACATTCACTTTCTTCTGATCACTTTCAATGATGTATAGGGATTTAAAATTGGTTTGACAGGGAAGTTGCCACAACCAATATGAAACCCGATAGCATGAGTCTGGGAGCTTTTACTCTAAAGCAGAGAGCCTCCCTCAGTTAGCAACTTCGATACATAATTTTTTTTTTCCGTTGATTAACAAAAAAACCTAAATTCATGGAAAACATTTTACGGGTTTGGAGGATTAATTTTCCAGCAAAACATGTTTCTTTTTTGGAATGAATTCAATGTTTCTTGGGCCCTCTGTAGAAGCTTTGCCACACTATTGTTGAATGAAATGTATTTTGTTCAAATCTTTTATCTATTCAATGACATTACTCGAAGAGCTATTTAGTTTCCAACCAGGGGTTTCTCAATTTTTTTGTTTTTTTATTCTTTGTCTGTGGGCATTCTAGAAAATAGAGGCCCTAATTTTTTATACATATACCTATGTTCTTGAGCTGAGCTAGGGTCAGCTCGAGCTCGTTCTAAAAATTTTGCTCACGATGTTCATCTCTCAAACGACCAGAGCTCAAACAAGCATTAAATAAGCCAAGCTCAAGCTAGCAACCCTACTCAAAGAGGCTTTGTTTTGAGTTGTTAGACGCTAGTAAATGGCATCCAATATTTTTCACAAAACATTTGCATTGGTTTCTTAGCAACATGAGAAAAACACTACGAGCAACCCCTTACCAGATAGTGGCAACGGTTTTCCTATACATTGTATCCTAGTTTTTATCAAACTAGCTACCAGGTTTACTTTTATCGCCTTGAATGGGCTCATACAAATCTTTGCAATATTAAATATCCTCCATCCTTGCTTTCAAATTGAATAAATTCAATGAGGTTAATTCTATCATGCCACCTAAAAACTAGAGCAGGCTCAAATGAACACACATAACTCAACCAAAGCGATGCAAAGAGAAAAAACAATATAAAGAGACCAATTTTTATGTGAAAAAATCCGCAAAGGGGAAAAACCACCATCTGTGGTCCAATTTCAAGCTTCCACTATATCAAAAATAATGGGCTTAACACCAATTTTTAATCTTTAGGTAAAAGTTATAACTAGAAGATAACAATACCAAGAACAAAATATTTCGGTTAACACCAATAAATTTCTTCACTTGAAGGTGGATCCAATCCAACACAACAATATCAAATCACAATTTCAATCTCACAGATTTGAAGTGAAGGGGTCTAGTAGAGAAATCGTTGGAAGAGTGTCCAATCAAAAATCTAAACAATGGATGGGCCGTACTTCCACTCAACATGAGAGGTTTTTACTTCTCTAAGTTCCTTCCTCACATAAGACGCACTCTGCACCCGCCAACCCACTAAAGTGGGACTTGTATATAGTGGCTTCCTTGAGAAGCCTTGTTCCGACGCTAAACTTGTTTCTTCCTTAACAAATATATATATATATATATAAATGATTTACGTTTTACATAACTTCAGACGCCCACATGGAGCGGACACAACACCACACTGGCAGTGTCTGATAATCAGATTTAGCAAAGTCTAAATCTATTTGAAGCCATTATAGAAAATATCAGATAATTATACTAATCATAATTTAAGACCCAAAATAGAAAATTAAGCGTTATGTTTTCTAACATGAAACTATTCAAGTTACCTTCACAATAAGGTCAAAAAAGATTTTTACACTTGTTAACAATCAAACATAACTCTACAAGCTCAGCCTTAAGTTATTTCCTTTGACACAAGATCTTACTAGATTAATAAACAAAATATACTACTTGCAAACTGGAAAAAAAACGATTCACTTGCCTCATCTTCGCTTGCAAGATCTAGTTTCCTCATCAGGTACTTTTGGATAAAAGAAACAGGTACATTCCCATCCCTGTGACAGAACGAAATACATATAACATTATGACATAGAACATATAAAGCCAATTAAGATAAGGCCAAGAATGAATATACATAATTTCCTTTTGCAACTTTTCCATGAGTTTGACCTGAATCTTGTTTTACCAGTACATGTCATTAATATCTTGGCCCTTCACTAAAACGAGACTAACATTGAACATATAGAAATATTTGTAATATACATAAAATGTAACTTTAGCAAAAGTGGAACTAAAAATGAGAAAACACGAAGATTGAAGGCAAAAAGACACCAAAGAGTGATCATTTTCATCATGTAGTTTGATAATCCATGCGGAGGGAGATATCACCAAGGACCTTGCTTACAAAATGAAGGCAGTATTAAGTGAAGAAATGCCTATTTTGAGAGCACTAGTGTACACTATATATTCAAGGGTAACTTCATAAGATGGCTATAAAGCGTAAAGAAACCATGTTAAGTAGGAAAGAATGCTGGCCAATAAAGAAAAACTATGTCTCTGGAGTCCTAAAAACATAAATCAACCTTAGGGCTTAAACTTACAAATTCAAGTACATATTCATAATAACTCAGTGTCATACATTATCTAAATTAATTATTAAGAATGTAAATAAACTTGTTACCCAAAATCAAAGAACAGTAGCTACAAAATAATCTTACAAAGAAATGAATTAAGTCAAAAGGAACTCACTTTATTCTCAAGTAACTTGAAGATATCTGAGGCAGTGCTGCATGTCCTTCCCTGAAATATGTATCAAAATCAGAAAATGAAGGTGGCAAACAAGATTAACAAAATTTAGTCTACATAAAAGAGTAAATTTTCATAATATAGAGCTGAAAAGTATATTCTCACTGATCTTCAGAAGCCACAAGTGAGAACCAAATTGGACCAATTCTTCTTTCGCATTTTGCACTAGCAGCATCTAGCACAGCTTGGGGTGAAACTCCAAATTCCCCAAAAGCAGCTGCCTTTTTTGTACGAATCCTACGCAACTTTTTAGGTTTGATGGTATCCAGAGAGACAGGATCGGTGCTATCCTTTTCGTCTTTGACTCTGGATTTAGCTTTGTGTTCCTTAACTTTGGTTTTGCGAATATGTCTTTCGATGTCAGTAGCATGTAAAGGCTCTGATTTAGCAACAGACCCTTGTGAAGTATACTTTGAAGACTTACTCCTATTTGCAACTTCCACCAAAAAATTTAAAGGTTTCCAGAGATCAACTTTCCCTTCCCATGTTTCAGCACCATTTTCTGTTACTTTTTCAGGTTCGAGGCGCCTAGATGTCTCAGCATTAGAAGAATTCTGTACCATTTAAATGATTAAAATCATCAAAAAGAAGTCCATGTGTGATCATATGCACCCTGCTGTAAGGCCAGATGCTAACAAAAAGTACAGATAACCTAAATAAAGAGTGCTCAGACAACTTGCCATCTTCCTTTACCTGCCTTATATTCTGAGTTAATTTGGTCAAAGTCTCGGGTGAGCTCAAGCTCTCTGGATGATCTTCCACAGAATCTTCCTCTTTCTTAACAGGCTTTTCAGTGGGAAAACTGGAACTTCGTACAGAAGATGCCTTTCTTGCAATAGCTTTTGACCTTCTTCCTGTCATGGCAGTCTGTGTTGATACTCTGGGAGTACTGACCACCAATGATGACAGTGATCTCTCCTTTCTTCTCACTGGTAATGTAACAGAAGCTGCAACTTCTGGTGCCTTCACCTTTCTTCTTTTGAAAGGGAAGATATTGATTCTCACATCTTGCAAGTTGTGGTCTGGCCTGATAACCAAAAATCAATGGACATGCTTTACAACAGAGTTCCATGTATTTCTAGATGTATGGTATACATGCAATAATTTATGTGCATTTATGCAAAAGGAGCAAAAGTCCCAATGTGGTGTATAAACAAATTTGAGAGATAAACTAAGGAATATATGTACCACATGCCACGTGTAGATTTTCAAATCAACATACTACAAAGGGAGATAGATTGCGGAGTGTAGCAATGACTGAAGGCCGCAAACATGCATGCACGTGAGCAAGCGCATAAGGGCAGGCGGTGTGAGCATGGGCCAATTTTCTTGAAGTTTTACACACAGCGCTAGATTGATGTCACATGGTAGATTAAATTGGAAAAAGGTAATAAAAGAAATTATGAAATAGCAAAAACTGAATTCAATATTATTCTCAATATCAAAGGTGCTTCTTAATAACAACAAGCCTAATATTTATAAGCCAACCTGAAAAGTCCAAATATGGAAATAGACAATACATCCAACATTAAACTGAAACATATAATTATCTCCTAAAATTAAGAAATCCTAAAATCAAGCATAACCAAAATAAATCAATTCCGAATCTTCCACCCTGTCTCATATAGGTGTGATGAATGGCATATCTCATGTGATCCCCATCATAGATTTATTAAAAAAAATAAAAAAATAAAAATAATAATAATAAATTTAAAATAAAAATAAAATAAATAAAAACTATGTCCAAAAAGCTCAAACTGCAAGAACAGAGGCCTCAAAACCTTATAACCACCGACAACTATAACATTGCAAAACCAAGGAAATAAATAGACGAACTAAAAACAAAAAACCCTTTTCTTTTCTTTTCTTTAAGTCATGGACTTCACCATCCCAATAGGCTAAGCACAAGAGGTAGTATAAGAGGGTTTCAATAATGATCTTTAGGAAAATATTAAAATAAGTCCACTTTAAAAAGCTCAAAGTGCAAGAAAGGAGCCTCATAAACTCCTCCATATGGCACTATAAAGCTGCATAACCTAAATTATGAATGGAATAATCTGAGAGCAAAAAATAAATCTACACATTTATATCATAATTCTTCCACCATCTGATAGGCCAGTTAGTCATTAGGGACAAACTAAACAATTTGAGTCTCCAGGTCAACAAAACCTGAGGCATCAATGACAAAAAACTAAATTTTACAAAGATATGACCAATCAGCAACTCACCACAAAAATGCAATACAGACATCAACTAAAAACTTTTGACCAGTACTCAAAGTATTAATAAGTCCATCAATGTGCTGTTCAAGCCAGATATATTTGCTTTGGCATTGTGCCCTAAGTTCAAAGAATCATTTTTTTCATGCAATACATATACAAGATAGGTTGGCACCAGCACAAACTTATCCACTTCTCTGCAATTAGCTTTTCCAAACTCTTAGGTACTAATTTGTATTAAATAAAAGTTGGTGTGGCTGATCATCATCCCAGACCAGCTCATCAATAATCATTTGTCAATCCAGACAGCTCAGAGTAGAACATCAATCCAGGTAGTTTGGAGGAGTACATAAAATGGAATGCCAAAACACATCTCAGTAAATTATAAAGCCTTCATTAATCTTCAGGAATGCAATGGAATAACATATTGTATTAGCCAAAACGAAAAATCCCCCTACTTCATTCCAATACTTTGCATCTTGCAGAAACTCAATCAAGTTTTGATCAATCCGGGGCATATATATGTTTATCACATGTTTGTTTCCTAAATGCTTTCTGCACAGAACCTCCATGACTAAGCCAAAAAAAAAAAAAAAGGAAAGCCAATATATATATAAAACTGAGGAAAACAGTCACTTTCTGTGGCAGAAAAACAGATTCCATGAATACAGAACCAATTATGGTCCTTTTGGCTGTGTCCAATAAGATTTTAACTCACAAATTCACTAACTGTGAGTCGGGCAGTTTAACCATTCAGCCATGGATGTATAATCAATCACTTGCTGTTGTTACACTTCAGGATTTTGTCATAAAAGCTTGTAACTACAAAAACAATGAAGCTTTGTTGGTGGGGGGAATTGACAGATTACATTTTAGAGCTGAATTTAAGAGTGCTATTGTTTTATTTTGTTGTCTTTAATATGAATATTAGTCTAGGAATCTCTTAGAGCATTTACAGATGGTAACTGCGTCGCTATTGGGCCTTTAAATGGCTAGTAATGTGTGGATAGAAAATTCTAAAAATTTTTCCTAGGAAGTTTCAATCATCCCAGTTCCCTTTTAGATTTCTCAAAATGATGCCATCAGCATTTTTCACTTTTGTCTCAACCTCCAATTGCAGCATATGTGGTTCTCAAAATGCAAACCCTGAACTCATTTGCATGGTCCCTCGTCAATGAAACTATAGGAAAAGCATTGGTGGCAAAAATTATGGCATTTCAACTAAGAGAGGGGGGATAAAGGAGGATAAAATACCATACTATCCAGGTATATATTACCCAAAGTGATTGATCACTCAAGTCCCAACCAAGGCAATAAATCCATGCTATGCAGTCAATTGTAGGCTAAAAGAAGCAAGTAAATAATGAGATGAAACTATATACAAAAATGACGGCTCAGTGCATGAGGTTTCCTCTAGTGAGATAAAACAGTGTTACAATTTTTAAGGAAAGATGTGTCTTTGGAAACCATGGCATATCAGATCTTGCATATGCACATGTGTATTTTTGTGGTCTTTAGGATCTCTGAAAATAGGGATATGTTAAATATGTATTATATTTATATATGGCAAGGAATAACATACTACTTTGTTATGATGTTGGGATCATAGTTCAGATGTCATGACTATGTGATTCAACACACTGTTTGGGAATCAAAATCATACCGTCATGAGTCCAATCCATAATCCTATACCACATTTGTAAAATAATATTGCTTGACAATCCAATCCAAAGTATACTTGCATTTCATCATTAAGGACAATGGTAACTATAATAAATCCCCCATTGCTATGCTATCAATCATACAACACACCATCTCACACGCCCCCGAATTAATTGAACGCTAATAAAGCTCACTTTTGTATGATACAGTACTAACAATATTTAGAGAGAGGGATAGAACAAGGGAGAGGAGGAAAGTAACTAGTTGGAAGAAATATCCTACCTCAGCTTCTCCAACGGCACACAACCCAAATTGATGTTGCATATTGGACAACATTCCGATTCCTCGTCTAAAAGCTTCTTATATATGCATTTTCTACAAACTGCATAAAATTCAAACAGAAAACTATCAAATTCTACCATCCAAATAGTTGAGTCCTCATTGAAAAAGATGGAAGAAAATAAACAGTCCTTGTTTGCCTTGAAAATATAAACAGCCCAGAAAACAATAAGGGGTAGTTTTCAACCATACGGACACTGAAGTGTAAGAGTTTCCAAAAACAATTACCATTTTTAAGCACAAACTAAAAATAAACACAGACCAGCACTATCCAGTAGCAGTTTGTAGGTGAAGACTACACTACCAGAAAGTAGGTAGTATAATATGAAAAAAAATAAAGGGTAGATCAATAATCTGAAGTTCTAAAATATTCACCTGCAATTCATGCTTACCTATAGCTCTGTTTGAAAATTTTCCTACAAATAATGAAAGAATGGTTTCCAAGTGAAAACTAATCAATCATATGGAATTACAGGACAGGATGAAGAAGAAGAGAACAACAAGATACTTGATTTTGCCAATGAAACGACAATATTTCGGCTAATTAACAACATTCAAAACTTAATGATCCAACAAATCAGTGAAACAACAAGCTCAGACTATTTAGTTGGTAACCTGAGGTCCTGACCTCACATTAATGGCAAATTAGAGTCTGCTAATTTCCTTATTTTTAGAAACAGAAAAACACAATTCTCAAGATTAACTAAAAGACCCATATGAGCTCAAATGTAAAATTCCCAGATCAATATAAGGCGAAACAAGCCAAACCCAGATGAGGGAATGAAAACTGAAAACAACCCAGATCACAAAAAAATGCTGAATACAAGTCAAACATAGCGAAACTTTCTCAAATTCAATAAATTGAGAAATAAACAAACATTAAATGACGAAGTTTGAGACTCACAAGTATGAAGACATTCAGATATGGTCGTGGCTTCTCTGAAGAGCTTGTGGCAAAGCGGACAAGTCATGCATGACCCAATCGTCTCTCTCCTCACTTTCACCACCTGATTCGACATCTCCCCGATACTCTCTTTCTCTCTCTTTCTCTCTCTCACACCTCTCAACCCTCGTCCAAAGCTTTACATACGTACCTGTATGGTGCATGTTAGCAACACTCCAAACCACGTGAAATTTACGTCCATCCCCCAGAATTTACCTGCATTCAACACAACCCAAATTCTACCATAATCAAAACTACACAGAGCACATAAAAAAATTTATTATATCTACATAAGAACACGATGTATATGAGTATAGAGCTGAGGTAGAGAGAGAGAGAGAGAGAGAGGGGGAGAGAGAGAGAGAGACCTGTGAATCTGCGAAGCATAGATTGGGATATGGGGTGAGATTGAGAGATGGGTAGGGGAGATTTGCGAAGAACCGACGTGGGTTGGTGATGGATTTGGACAAAAGGCGCAGTGGATTATCTGTTTGGGAGACCGAATCGAGAGAGAGAGACTCCTTGCGAAAATGGCATTAACCAAACAGTTCTTTGTTTTTCTTTTTCTTTTTTTTATATATGTGTCGTTTACAAGTCAGGAAATGGGGATCTGTGATAAAGTGCGCCAGGGAGTATAATAGGGATAACCTGCGCACCATGCAAGTGTGTATGCGACGATTTCGACGGCGTGTTTGGGGTGAGGGGTGCTTGGGTATTTATTGCGTCTGGTTGGCGCATATTAGCCTAAGCTGCACGCGAATGATAGCAAAGCTTAAATTATTCTTTTTTTAACTTTTCACTGTAACTTTTTTTCAAATTGAACTATCTTTTTTTCATAAATTGTTTCCTTGTTTATTTAATTTAAAAGTTAAATTCAAATATGGTAATTTAAATTTGAATTACAAATATATATAGAAATAAAATTATCTACCTATTTATGATATGGGTAAATAATTTCACATGAAACTTATTTCAATTTTCACTCTTATTTTTAAATTATTTTTTAGTGTGAATTCTAAAAATAGATCAACTAAAAAATACATGAATAAAACAATTTTTTGTTTCATATTTAATAAATATTGGACTACATTGACTTAATTAATAAAATTCAAAGGCTTGACAAAAAAATAAAAAAATTAAGAGTTGGGCTTAAAAATCGAATGTCAAAGACAAAAACAAAATCTGAAGGCTTTCATAGAACTAGTCCAATATTGAATGGGTTCAACTCCACGATAACTTTGAATCTCTTAAACTCATTTGATGGCTTTCTTAGAGTTTTGCATTAGACTAAAAAAAAAATCAACCCCAACTTATAATGATAATGAAGCATGGGTGGCCTTACTCTCTTTGCTTTCAACTCCACAATAACTTTGAATCTCTTTAACTCATTTGATGGCTTTCTTAGGCTCCGTTTGGGAAGAAAAAAATTAGGTTTTTTTGGCTAAAATAGTCACAAAAAACAAAATAGACTATTTTAGCCATAAAAAACAAAACATCAAATCCAACCCATAATCATTACAATCATCTCTCACAAAAAAAGTCAAAAAAGTCAAAAAGTCAAAAAGTCCTTCCCAAACCAGGCTAAAATAACCAAAAAGCCAATCCACTTCCCAAACGAAGCCTTAGAGTTTTGCATTAGACTTACAAAAATTAAATTCCAGCTTATAATGAAGCAGTCTCCTTACTCTCTTTGCTTTCTATCTCTAGTATAACCTTGGCTATATGGGCCGGTGGAAAATTTAGACTAACGGGATAGTTGTCACGTCCAAAAAAATAATGTGACACTAGAAGCAACGTTTGAGGTTTATTGTAAGCATTGGAAGTTTTCGGACGGTGTGAGAGATGCTAGGGTATGTTGGGAGGCTCTAAAACATGGTAAAAGAGTCTGGAGGGGCGTAGAAGATTTCATAACGTGATGGAAGAACTTTGAAAGATTCAGAGGAGTCTAGGTGAATCTGGAACATCCTAAAGACCATAATTGCAGGTTTGGCAGAGGGAAATGAATTAATTGTACATGAACCGCACTTATAGCATGTCTGTTTGTAAAAAAGTGATGTGAGATTGCTAATTCCATGAACTATTAATCCCCTCTCATGGTGACATTAGCATTTCCATGGGAGGGGTGAGCTTACTAATCCACTCTTATAGATTGATGGGTAAAAGAGAATAACATAAGAATAAATAATATTTTAAATTAATATTTTTTTATTGACTTAGAAAAATAAATAAATCAACAAACATTTGACATGGAAACCCAATCTAAAAGTCATATTTGCAAATGTTATGGAAACTGACGTTCTATCTAAGAATTTTTTGAATCAGTAAGTCCTATTTAGTAAAACTGATAATATTATAAGTTTTTCTCAATTTTTAAAATTAATAACATTATCAATTTTGTGTAGTAATGTTCCAGATAATTGTTTCAGTAACTGATAAAAAAAATAGAGTATAAGATTAAACGTTTTTACCCTTCAACTTATTAGTTTCATTCAACTATCCAATAAAATCGAGAACATTATCAGTTTTAATTCTAAGTTTTAAAACTGATAATATTATCAATTTTTTCATTTTTATTTTATTTTTTTTCAGGTTTTCACATTAATTTTCCATCATCATACTCCTTTATAGACACAAAACTTCAATATTGCACAAAAAAATAATTTCATTTTTTCAAAAAAAAAATTCAACTTGTTTTGTTTGGATTTTCAAGATTCACTTTTTAGAAAATTAAAATTTTTTATTTTTCGTATTTTTTTGTTTTTACTTAATTTTTTTAATATTCTAAGCAATTTCTTTAATTTTTAGATACACTTAATATAATACACCTAAAAAGTATAATATTTGTGAAAAAAATCTTTAGAAAATTCACTAAATACCAAAAATACAAAAAAAAATAAAAATTTAATATATTTTCGTATTCTTGTGTATTTATTGATTTTTTAAAATATTTTTTTAGAAATATTTTACTTTTTAGGTACATCTAAATAAGGTACATCTAAAACAAACCCAGATTTAAGAAAATGACGATAAGTCTCAAATATCTCAAACTCAAACAAACTTTAAAGTCAATCCCCAATTAATCCATAGCTATTAACTATTCACACCGAATTTACACCTAATCTAAATAAACTACATAAAGAATTTAAATCTAAAGAAAATATGTCTAAACGAGATACCAATAGACCTACACATACTAAAACACAAAGGTAAATGATACTTAAATCATGGTATACGTTTATGTTAGAATATCGAACTGAAATCCTATTTTTTGATTATCTTCAAATTACCAACAAATAAATACTATAACAAAAACTAAATGAAAAACTTCTACTAGTACTTCTATTTCTTCTAATCATCCTCCTCTTGAAACGATTTTAATTGAACATAAGGATCAACTATTAATGCTTTGCCTTTTAAAATATCTGGTGATGAAATTGAAATTAAGAAAGTTATTGAATAAAATAATTACACTAATCAATGTTTAAAAACTATTAGTAGACAATTAGATAAAATTGAAACAACCTTTGACGATTATTCAAATAGTCACACTTCGACTAGTAAAACTATAGAAAAGCCGCTTATCAATTTACCTAGTGACCGCCGTAAACTTAGTTTAGTCACACAAGATACTCATACAGTTGACACAATTGAAGAAATATTTAACAAAATTGCCACATATTCTAAACCTTCCAAGGAAAAAGGTATATTAGTTATCACTCAACAACCTATTCTCGATGCAAATAATGAGTCATCCACCTCTCCTCTGATGATGAAATAAGATTAATAGAAAAATAATTTCAGTCTACTAATCTTAATAGGATAGTATACCCCAAGGTGAATCCTACTACTCTTACTAAAAATTGGTATACTAAACCCACCCAACCTAATCTTCAATTTGAAAAAACTAACATTAATAATCAATTTTTCATTTTTGCTAAAAAATTATATGAATAGAATATAGTTGGTCTTACCGAAAATCAAACCCTCTAAAAGTTAAATCACATATTTATGGTCGCTAATAGTTATCTTAGTAATTATTCTGATTATACTTAACCTGAAATAGTCTCCCTTCTTACTTCTGTTTTACCGGAATGCTTAAATCACGGTGGGACAACTATCTCACTTCTGACATCCGTGATGCTATTCAACATGCTAGTCAAATTGATGATAATGATCTTTGATGAAGAAATAAGAATGAGTAAACCTAATGAAATAAATACTTTAATATTTACCATAGTCAAACAATTTATAGGAATACCTAGTAATATTCATTATAGAATACATGATCAACTTAGTAATCTAACTTGTCCAACATTAAGTTATTTTCATTGGTATAAGGATGTCTTTACATCTACAGTCATGCTCCGAGATAATTGTACTAAATCATTTTTTTTACTCTGAAAAATGAGTAAAATGTTAGACTCTACACAAAAGTAAAATTTTACTCTGTATAAAAGTAAAATTTTACTCTACTTCTGTCAAATAAAAAAACAGAGCAAATGAAATTAGATAAAAAACAACAAAAATAAATAAAAAACAAACAAACAAGCAAAAACAAAACAAATTAATCAACAAATCAACATATCTAATTGAGAAGAAAAACTTCTAAAATTCGATCAACAATCACAAATCTCAATGAAAAGAATACATGTGTTCAACAACACTCATACACACAAATATATATATATATATATATACATATATTCTACTGCTCCTCATCCACATCTTTCCCAACCTCCTGTTCAACTTCTTTCAATCTCGAAGCTTCAGCCTTCGCATTCAACATCGCCAGCATCTCATCAATAACCTCATCATGTTTCTTCTTCGCTTCCAATTGAGCCATCTCCACCGCACTCCGAATCTCCCCCATCTGCTCCGAAACCCTAGCTTTCGAATCTCCAACGACATCCTCATTCAATATCAACAAAATTAAAGATGAGAATCGATAAATTTATGTAGAAACATCAACAAAAATCGCGAAATGTGAAGAGATTCGAATGATTTGTGAATTTAACATAACCAGATAGGTATTGAATCGATTGTACCTGAAGATTGTAGAGACGATTCAATAGCTATTCATTTGTGGTTTCTGAGCAGAGTTGTGAAATCGAAAATTTAGGGTTTCATGGAAGACAGTCTCTGCAATGGTTGTGCGAAAACTAAGAGAGAGAGACAGAGAGAGAGAGGACGAAAAAGGTGGAAAGATCTAGTTGAGGGGTATAATAGTCTAATAAAATATTTAAATAATAAATTGTGTCCTTTATGTAAGATTTTATAATTATGAGGGGGTTTAGAAAATATAATTTTTTTCTTAGTCCTTTTAACAATGAAAGGAAGGTAAAAGGGATTTATAGCTAAATTTCCCTTTAAAAAATCAACCCCAACTTATAATGATAATGAAGCAAGGGTCTCCTTACTCTCTTTGCTTTCAACTCCACAATAACTTTGAATCTCTTAAACTCATTTGATGGCTTTCTTAGAGTTTTGCATTAGACTTACAAAAATTAAACTCCAGCTTATAATGAAGCACAGTCTCCTTACTCTCTTTGCTTTCTATCTCTAGTATAACC